AGCCGCAGCCTGAGGGCAAACCCAGGGAGGGGCCCGGCCCAGGAGCAGGGAAAGGGCCAGGTGACAGCTTAGAGGTGCTTGCACCTCTTCAGAACCTCACTGTGAAAGACCCTTCTTAACAGGCTTTACATGTTCTAACAGGAAAAAGGAAGAGAGCATGCGTCTCTCTCAGACCACCTGTGCTCACGCCATCCAGGAGCAGGACGCGCAAGTATGCAAGTAAGTGTACAAACACACCCACACGTATGCACACACACAATGCACATGCACCAACATACACGCACATAAATACACTAGGGGCCCGGGTGCACCAGTGGGGTCCCTCGGCCAGGCCTGCCCCCCCTCACAATCTGGGACGCCTCAGGGGATGTTGGAGAGCCAGTTTCAGCCCGATCCCACAGGCCAGGCCAAGGGACGCCACTGGTGCACGAATTCATGCATCGGGCCTCTCAAAATAATAATAATAAAAGATACATAAAAGGAATAAAGAGATTCATCAGTCTGTTCCATGTTTCCATGACTGTGTGTTGAGCGTCTGCCCCCTGGTGGTCAGTGCACACCATAGCTACCGGTCGGAAGGTCACTTAGGCTTTTACATATATAAGAGAGATCCCATATGCATCAACATATACATGCATGTACATATACACACACGCCATTTATTTACATATGACTACAAGCCAGGTAACTTAACGGGGAAAAAATATTCCTCTTAAATGTCAAAGCAACAACGTGCCCAGTCCCGGGCCGACCAGAGGGGCATGGTCTCGCCCAAGGACCCCCCTGTGGCCAGGGGAGCCTGCTGGGGACCTACCCGCCGTTGAGGGTGGGCGTCAGGCCGAAGAGTGTGCAGAGCCCCACAGACATGAGCAGCGAGCTGAGCACCGTGACCACAGCGGCCAGAGCCAGCCCCCACTTGGACTTGACCATGTCGATCTTGCCTGGAGGGCAGAGGGCACGTCAGAGGCATGTTCCCGACCCTCCCACAGCCCTGGAGGAGCTGCTAGGAGTGTCCCCTGACTGTGACAGGTTTCACCAAAGGAAAGGACAGCACGTACATCCCACCCCAGGGACACAGGGCCTTTTGCGGAGGAGCCCACAGAGCCCTGGGTCCCCGAGAGGCCGGGGACAAGCCCGCGAGGCAGGACCTACGCGTGGAGAAGTAGATGTAGGCGAACAGGATGATGTAGGTGGTCACGAGCGGGATGAGCTCGGCGACGCCGATCTCCTCCTTGAAGTGCACGTGCACCAGGCTCTCGGCCCGCAGGCTGCAGTTGGGGCTGGGGTGCAGGAGCATCAGGCGGGCCCGCAGGCTGCTCAGGAACCTGGCACGGGGGGGCAGGGGGGCTGTCCCTCACGGTCCAGGGGACAAGGACAACCCCTGCGAGGGGCCCAGCAAAGCTTCCTTCCTCGAGTCAGTACCAGCCCTTGGCCCACCCAGTGCCCAGGCCCACGCCCAGGCCTCGGAGAGGTAGCCCGAGGAGCTCCATGTCCTGGCCTCTGGGGCCGCTGCAGCGCTGCTGGAGGGCGCCAAGCCCCAGGGGGCCCGGGGGTGGCGAGGGGCCCAAAGCTTCCTTCCTCGAGTCAGTACCAGCCCTTGGCCCACCCAGTGCCCAGGCCCACGCCCAGGCCTCGGAGAGGTAGCAGCCCGAGCTCCATGTCCTGGCCTCTGGGGCCGCTGCAGCGCTGCTGGAGGGCGCCAAGCCCCAGGGGGCCCGGGGGTGAGCAGCAGGGGGGCCGGCCCTACGCTTCAGAGAGACTGCTGGGGGCACCAGGACACCGGGCTTGCCAGCCCGGCCTTAGCCCCTTACTCTGGACCCCCCACCGTGAGCAGACGGACCCGCAGCCTGAGGGGTAAACTCCACAGGCAGCCGGGTCCTGCACGTCAGGGGCGCCTGGACACCGCCCGGAACAGGGACCCAGCTTTGTGGCGCCCGCAGCCCGAGGAGCCCGCGGCTCACTTGGCGTGGTAGCGCCGGAAGACCAGGGTGATGGTGTAGGCGGCCATCCTCTTCCTCGCGAACAGGCTCACCCCGCTGTACTTCCCGGGGACCCCAAACAGCAGATCTGCAGGGAGAAACCAGCAGGCGCTGACCAAGGCCTCCCCACCTCCACCTGGCACGAGGGCGGCCCCTGACCTGCCGAGCACCCATCGCAGGGCTGGGTGGCGACGCCCGAGGCACCTTTGAGCGTGGCTGAGGTCTGCAGGGTCTTGGGCTCGTGCTGGTGGATGGTCGCGATGATGTCGGGGTCGGCGTGGAAGTGCTCGCGGTCATTCTGCCAGAAGTTGGCCGGGGACAGCAGCAGGCAGCCGTGCTCGGGGAGCAGGTTCCGGAGCTTCCTGAGGCCTGGCAGCAGGTCGGTCACCTGCAGGCACACCTCCTCCAGGCTCCTGGCCCCAGAGCTGGCAGGGAAAGGAAGCACGTGTGCCGACACGGGCAGGCCCACGCCTGGCGGCCCCGTGCCATCCAGTCCCCAGGTGCCGGTGTCTGAGCCCGAGGTCAGGCAGCCAGGAAAGGCTCCTCCAGGTCGACAGCCACGTGGGGGTCGGACCTTCCAAGCGTGTGGAGCCCAAAGGCTGATCACCTGACAGGCTGGCCGGGCGTGTGCAGCCCCGCCCACCAAGACGCCTGGCCCACCCAGAGGGCAGAGGGGCGAGGGGAA